AAACTCACCACAAGAACCACAGCTCACATCTCTGCAAGAAAATCAAGGGGGGTGGGGTGGAGGGGGGTGGTGAGGAGGGAAAAAGAAAAGTGCGCTGGACCCCCCCCTAAGGATCACCAGCAGCAAGGTAAACAGAAATCTGTTGGGGGGCTCTGGTCCCCTTCCTGCTTCACTGCCCCTGAGTAGAGCTCAGGGCCAGCAGAAGCAACGTTTCTCACCAGCCACCTCATTTTGGATGCTCAAAAGGGAAGGGAACAGATACTGAGAACTGTGACTTATGTAGCCTGCCTAAGGGGAAATAATGTTGATTTCTGTTTAAACCAAGTTCTTTCTGCCTCCAGCCTGTTGCCCAGTGACCCATTTGGAGAGGAAGTGTGCCCTCTGCCTCAGTTTCCCCAGCAAGGAAGCTTTTGTGGATCAGCCAACCTCACAGGACTGCAGAGATGCCTGGGTAAAGCTGCCAAAGATGCCCAGCATAGCATCATCACCTCCTCCAGCAGTCAAGCCAAGCCCTTTACTAGGGGAAACCTAGTAAAGGTTACTTACCTTTACTAGGTAAGTAAAGGTTACTTACCAGCCAAGCCAAGCCAAGCCCTTTACTAGGGGAAAAACATCTGCAGGAGACTATGACCTATCTGTGGTCCCTAAGGGCTGGGATTCCCCTCTCTGCCATCACACAAACCCTCTGCAGCAGTTCCCACTCCACAGATGCAGAAGTCTCACTCAGACCTGCCAGCAGCTTCACTTAGTGCCAACACATCCCAAGGACATGTGTTAGGTGATACTTAATGAGTATGAATCCTCACTTTCCTCTCTCCAGATGAGATATTTCCACAGGGCTGATTTTTTTCTAGGTTGGGGTATGCCACAAGGAAAAATAGTCTTTTCCTCCTGCTCACCTTCCCTTTCACATAGCAAAGAAAAGCCTTTGAGCAGCAGAGGAATGCTGTAGGCAGAGAGCCACAAGCATCTGTACATCTGCCTGAAAATGTCAATAGCCCTGCAGGTTGCTGCTGTTTGGCCACCTTTTTTGCAGGCCTTTGTTGTCAGGACCAGTCTGGCCTTCACACTCCCAGTCTCCTCCCCACCAGGACAGTACTGCCACCTCCACTTCACCAGTTGGGAGAAAGTGAGGCACCAGAGGGGAAACATCCAGATGAGCCCCCTGTCCTCCCCATGCAAAAAGACAGAAAGATTCCACCCCTGCAGCTCTAAGCCCCCCGCAGTGGGAGCCCCAGCTAGGATGGGTGCCGAGTCAGAGGCAGCAGAGAAGCCCCAGCCCTGGTGACCTGCCAGGCTGGATGCAGCTTGGGTCTTGGGAAGCACAGGAATCAGAGCTGCATACATACCCTCCAATACTTTATCCAGATCTGCAATGAACTCCTCCAGCTCCTGCGTGTCACCAAGCTTTGCTAGTGGAGAGAAACACACTGTCAGATCTCTCCTATTCCCTGCCCCCAGCTCTAATTTGGGAGAACAATCCCTGCCCCTTGCTTCTAACCACAACTGCTCTGGCTGCTTCTGTACCAGCCCATCACTGCCGAGCCAAGCCAAGCATGCAGAAGGAAGCCCTTCAGACAAATCTTTCAGCCTCACCTTTGGAGGGGTAAGCATTGGCAGGGGTGTTGAGGTCCTCCTCACTGGAGTTGAGACTGCTTCCTGGGGACGTGCTGGTACCTACGGATGCAATGCATCAGTCACTGTCCACAGCCACAGGCACCTTATAAACAAGTTGCAGGACCAGGGACCAATCATGTGCATGGCATAGGGTCCCTGGACCACCCTCACTCTTGGCCAGCCTATCTGCTCTTCCTCTGCTGCAAGGGATGCTTGGAAAAAGGGAACTGAGCTTCTCTATCAGGGGAAACAGCACTAGAGGTTGCCTGGGCACAGCCACAGGGACTCTTCAGGGTTATTGTGGCAAACTGGTTCCCTCAGAGCTCCTGGTTATCTCAAACTTCATGCAGTCCTGCAGCAGCCAACCCAGCAGAAGAAGCCCCAGCAGATGACAGCAGGCCCCGGGCCAGGATTCAGTGGTCATCACCCCATGCTACTTGTCCAGCCCATGAGAGATGAGTCAGACAGGCAACTCAGAGGTGGGATCATCAGGAAGCTCCATGGTTTACCATGGAGGAACCCCAGAGCTCCCAAGGTAACTCCATCCCGATAGACACCATCTTCCCCCAGAACTCCTCCTTCCCCAGCCCCATACTCACTCTCCAGCTCATCAATGCCGCTATCATACACGCTATGTCCCGATTTCTTCTTCAGCTCCTCCAGGTGCTGCTCGTATTGGCACGCAGGGCCTCTGTCAAAGTCCTCCATCACCTCATCAAACTCCCGCAGCAGGTCACTGAGCTCATCAGCCATCGCTGGGGGCAAGGAGTCAGTGGAGGGAGAGGCGTGGGGCCCACAGCCCACACCAGGCAGGCAGCCCCAAGGAAAAGCCTCTCAGGAGCAGCACCAGGCTGGGGATGAGGCAGACCCAGGCTCTGGGCCGCCTCTCCGTGGGCAGGCTGCCAGCTCTGTGCAGCAAGTTCAGGGCTGACATTGTCCCTCACCATCCCACCCCAGAGCTCCGAGAGCATCCAGCTCCTCGGACAGCTCGGCTGTCCTTCCAGCTTACCCCACAGCTGAGCAGGGGCCCGACCCACTAAGAACCAGTCCTAAGCAGGCAAAGGGTCTTGACCCTGGACCTAACTTCTTCTTCAGCCTTCAGGGGAGGTTACAGCAGGACTGAAGTGGGGTGGCTGGACTACACCGAGCCTGGGTGACGGGCAGCAGCGGCGCCGGGCAGCCACCCCGGGCGCTGCTCGCAGGGGTGTGCCGCTGGCTCTCCCGGGGC